ATCATTGTTTGTCGTGCGTGCCTGAGAGTTTCTGGGTGTGCGTGTGTCTGTGTGTGTGTGCGCGGGTGTGTGTGTGTGGATGTGATGATGCTATATCTGTTATGCGTGATTGCTTGCTTATAACTGTTTTTTATTTGATTCAATGTTTGTCTCTGTCGGTGAGTTGTCTGTGTGTGTCTGTGTGTAACTTATGCGTGTCCTTGTCGAGTCCTTGTGCGTCTGCATGTGTGTGCGTGTGCGCGTGTGTGCGTGTGTGCGCCTGTACATGTGTGCGTGTGTGCGTGTGTACGTGCGTATGTGTGTGTGTGTGTGTGCGTTCAGTGTGTGTCTGTGTGTGTGTGTGCGTGTGTGTGTGTGTGTGTGTGCGTGTCCGTGTGTGTCTGTGCGTGTCTGCGTGCCCAAAATGAGGTACCCGAATGTTCGGAAACTCCCATCTGTAACGCACAATTGGCTGGCATTTGGAAAAGCAGCAAGATTCGTCGGGTGACGTGTTATTTTCTTCAGGGTGTTGTACCACTATACCCTAAGGCTCTAAGGACTCATATGTTGATGCCTTTGGGCCTCAAGACCATACTATATGACGCTTTTGGGCTATGTTGAGCCTTAGGGCTAGCATGCGAGGAGCCTTCACGAGTATCTAGTGCTGCCACTGCAGAAAACCCAGACTATGTTGTGGAGCACCTGCAGTGCGAGACCTTTGGATGCATCTACCGCAATGAGTCTACAACGCGTATACCACAAGAAGGCATGCCATGCATAATAACATACACAACAGAAACGGCCTGAAGCATCCTTCTAACGAGTGGCTGCATGACTTCGGCAGTGTAAAGCTCTGACGATGGGCCGCTAAACCTAAAAATACAACACGGGCATAAAATATCAGAAAATACCAAAATGGGACCTTTGTAATTCAAAGTAGGGTTGATGCAACCCTAGACACTACCCACTGAAAGTATAGACCCGGAAGCCTACCTTTACGAATTGTGCCTTGGCTTCAAGGGGGTAGTCATAGCCCTTGCCAGGATTGCCCCAGCCAGAGCTTTGGTAGCCCCTCCCATTGTCATAGCTCTTTCCGTTCTGGTAGCCCTTTCCGCCGTAGCCTTCAGGCACATGGGCTGAGATTCTCTCGCGATTGCCCTTCCCCCTCACACGAAGAGAGAGAGAGAGAGAGAGAGAGAGAGAGACAGAGATTGACAGAGAGAGTGAGTTAGAGAGAGAGCCAGGGGAGAGGGCGAGGAGCAGACAGGGAGAGTGCAAGAGAGAGAGAGAGAGAACAAGGCAGACAGAGTGCGCATGGTGTTCGTGTGCATACATGCATACGTACATACTTACATCCAACCATTCATACATGCATAGATGCATACATACATGCACACACCTGTATGCAAAGGTATAAATGCATAAACACCTCTCTGTCTCGGCAAAAAAAGGTGTAAACATATATACACATGTATGTATGTGTATATGTATGCATGTACCTGTATGCATGATGTATGTTTAAAAGGCAGAGACTACAGGGCGCTGAAGCGCTAAGGAATGATAACAGCATTGTTTTTAACGACCATAAGGTTAGTAGTAGTAATAATAGCAGTACGGTTGATGATATAAATCCTGCATTACCTTAAGGACCCTAAACTATGAGAATAATGGTATACTCCTCATTATGGGCAATGCAGGATTTATACCATCAGCAGTAGCACTGAAACTTCGACCGGAGGATCTTTGCAATGAAAGCCTTACAGGATTCCCATACATGTCGAGCTCAAAGCTGGTGAAGTGGGCCAAGCTGAACATCCTACTTGGAGGATCATGGGACTTAGTAAGTAGGGTTATAAGTACCTGAATTGGGGTTATAAGTAATTATAACCGGAGCTACCTTATTTATGACCCCAACTACTAAGTACCACGAACCTCTAAGTACCCCTGAACCCTAAGACAGCCAAGGGGTCCCAAAGACCTACTGATTCGGCAGCACTCGGGTTTAGGATAGTAGTGGGTTTAGGGTTTAGGGTTTAAGGGTTTAGGGTTTAGGGTTTAGGGTTTCTGTTTGGGGGAGTATATGATAGGTACTTGAACCCTTGGGGTAAATCCCGACCCTAAACCCTAAACCCTAAATCCCTGCCTTGGACCCTAAGCCCAATTGGCCCTACACACTTCCCTAGAGGGTCCCGGAGTTTGAGATCCAACCTCAGGAGGCTGAAGACAGGAGAGCCCACCCCTGAATTTGAATGATGATATTAGGGCCCCCAAAAAGGCACATAAGCAAGAATTAGGAGAAGGATATCCCATATAACTCCCCTTAAAAGGAAGCCCAATAAGGTAGGGATATCCCCATAAAATGCTTATGCTTATGTCTTTGGGGGTCCCTAAGATATCCGAGCCTCTAAAACCCCTCAGTCAGCGGTCACCATGTCCGCCGCAAAGATCCTATCACTGATCGCCTTCGAAGTTAAAGTAGAAAACGCTAAGCCCTAAACCCTAAACCCCTGAACCCTAAACCCCAACTTCTAAACCCTAAACCCCTAAACCTTAAATCAACGGAGTTTTGGAGTTGCTGGGAGGCCGCGTGGCCTTTGCCGTCGTAGCCGCCGTCGTAGCCCTTGCCTTGAAACAGAGTGACGGGATTCCGAATCGATATGTGATTAAAGCCCCCACGCTATAGCCTTATAGATCCCTTATAGAACCCCGTTAAGAATCGCGTGTCCGCGGTGCAACCCTGAGTCTTTAACGGTTTAGGGTTTAGGATGGATGCCCAGACACCTAGGAACAAAAAGGGCTCCCTTTTCGGTGTTGGGTAACTTTAAAATTGGAACCTAGGACGACATACAGGGAATAAGCGTACTACTGGGCATCCTAGTTAACCCTAAATATCTTCTAGTGACTGGTTAGACATCCGATTATGTGGATCAAACACAAAGCTCTGGACAAATAAACTAAACCTAACACCACAAATCCTCTGTAATCCTTAGAAGAGAGCTATACATCCGGAACCCAGATGCCCTGAACTCTGAACGCCTCATATCTGACTGGACTCTGCAAGAGCAGTAACTGTTTGCACAAACCCTGCCTAGACCCTGCAAAACCACCTGTTTAAGGACGTGTATAAGCACAAAAGAATACAGAACCCCAAAATGGTATGCTATTCGGAATGAAGGTAAGCACTAAATCCCGATTCCCAAGCCCCGCAATGGCACAACCAAAAACAAAACCAACTCAATCCTGAACCGGAACCTATATCCCTAAACCCTAAACTCCAAACCCAAGGAGTTTCTTTGCGATTTGCAAAACCAAGAAACCTCCAAGGCTCAAACTAGACACAGTTCAAGGAAACTCCAAGCCGTCACGTGCTAAACCCTGGCTCCAAACCTTGTTACAACCCCTCCCGGAAAACAAAAAAAGCAAGACCCCGCCGCCCGAATCGTCTATGACTGCTCGACTGGGAAGGTCATGACATTGTGAGATTTTGGGAGTTTAGCAGTTTACCGCGGGGCGCTCACATAGGCTATTTTAGCTGACTATTGGGGCAATTTTTCTCGCTGAAATGGCAAAATCAAGACGCTGGACCAATGTCGCTAAACTTTTGACCCTCGATTGCATTGTCTTGTGCTGGCTGCCTTACAATACTCTCTTATTCAGGGATCCCAGGCATGAAATAGGACACATTGGAAACCGGTTACCGCACTTGAAAGTATGAGCAAGCCAAGGTTGCGACCATCTTTCCCGTCGTAGCCTTTCGGGCCCTCGTAGCCCTTTCCCTTTCCGTCGGGGGCCTGGCAGCCGCCCTCTCGGGCTTATTAACCAACCTGACCTAGCGTGACTGCTTTGGGGCTTTAAGTCTTTGCAGGGCTTTGGGTCCTTGCTTTTGCATGGATCCAGCGAGTAGGGTTGAGTTTGGGCATGTGCCCTTCCTCACTGCTTCACACAGACATGCTTCGAGTCTGAGCACTTACCGATCCAAAACTTTCCTCTGACTCCCAAGCCAAAACCTGTTCGACCAGCGCATGCAGAGGCTCTGGAGGTTTCAAGGACCTGCTGACCAAACAATGCAGGATTTCTACCAAGCTGTCTTGGGTGTTGAGGATGTGTGATGCATTCCTTGGGGTAAACTCGGAAAAAAACACCGGCACGTGGGCTCATCAGAGGTGTTCCGAAGTCCCTACTTAGCACTTAGCTCATCAACTCGTGTGAGATCTCGTGTGATGCTTTTCAGATGGATCTGATCGGCCATGGATTCGCAGGCTTTGTGGGTTCTACAGTATTCTACAGTATACGTCTGAGTGTTGGAAAGCAATGGCATGCAACGAAGGGCTTTTCCGAAGGCAGCCGCGCGAAGCAAGCTCAATTTTCCTGGCCTTCTGGCACATGGGGCCTGCATCCGAGGAGGAGCAGGAGGAGGAGTAGCAGCAGCACCACTACTACTACTACTACTACTACTACTACTACTACTACTACTACTACTACTACTACTACTTCTACTACTTCTACTACTACTTCTACTGCTAACACTGCTACCACCACAGCTCAGGGTTTAGGCTGCTTATACCCTGATCAGAAGGATCCTGTTGAGGATCGCAAAACTCACGAAGAGACTCCAAAACCTGTTGACATAGCAGTAGACCTACTTTCGCATTGGATTCCCCACCTATACCTAGAATGACCAAGATACCTAAAACACAGGAAATGTACCTATGGCTTTAGGGTGATATCCTGTTTAACTCTCCTATGATACCTTATAATCTAACCCCTTTACAGGGGACCCTTCTTCGCCCTACTTCTGGCTCTCTTAAAAGGGACCTCGTTGAGAGGGTCGACTAGGATACCCAGTAACCTAAGAATAAAAAGGCCTCTCTTTTTGGTATTGGGTAACTTTATAAGGAACCTAGGACTACAAAAGGGGAATAAGGGTACTACTGGGCATCCTAGTCGATATCCCCAACGGTCCCCCTAATCCTAAGTGCTAGAGTCGCAGGACTCAGAAGGGAGGCGATCTTCGCCACTCATCAACCTGCCACAGCCCAGAGAGCCCAATACCCCGTAATTAAGGAATATACCTTAAATCCTTTGGGGCTTCATATTTTGATTTAAGCTATATTCCTTAATTAAGGGGTCTTGGGCTCTCTGGGGGCCGGATCGCGAGTCTCAGGACCAGCACTCTGATACTGCAACATCCCTTAATTAAGGAATAGGCCTGAAGCTATAGTAGGACTAGTAGGATCCCTAATCTGATTTAAGGTATATTCGTTAATTGAGGGATATTGGAGTCTCAGGGAACCCTGACAGTGGTTTAGGGTTTGGGGTTGATGGAATAACATGCCGTGTCTCCGACGACGCCGGTCGCCCTCTTCCTAGCCAGATGCAACGACACAAACTACCAGGCACATCCGCCGACAAAACTGTCGATGCGCAGAGGAACCCCAAACGGTACACCCTGAACCTTAAAGCTCCACCAAACCCGAGAAGGCAGACACAAAATCTGAAACCTGAGCCCTAATGAACCGCAAAAACCCCTGCGCCCTAAATCAGAAATCGCTTCCCTAACAAGAGCCCGCCCTTCCCAACAAAAAGAGCTGTACCAACTATACATGAAATCTTAAAGAACGCGGCAACACCGAGCCTGTTGGCAGCGCCGAGAGGCTCACCCGAGGAAGCCTTTGCAAGACACCGGAACCGCCGAAAGGCTTTACGTGGGTTTATAAGATGAATATTTCAACCAGGACCCTTAGAAACCTACCTTTTTTCGTAGAAGCCCAAAGGCCAAAACTAGCCCAAAAGCCATGCAGCATGGTGTTTCGGCGCGAAAGCCTTAGGTTATGAGCCCTTAGTTCGAGCCTTAAGGGGGAGCATTAGGGTTTAGGGTTACGGGTTTAGGGCTTAGGGGCTTAGGGGGAGCATTCAGGTTTTTGTAATGATATCAGATTGGAGCGTGTAGGGGCCTACATCAGAGGGCTTGCGACTGGCGGCACATTATCATATAGTAACAGGGACTATAAGTCTATAAGGATATACTAGTATACTTGATCAAAACTTGAATGTACCGTGAAGTTTGAGATATACACCGTGCATACCCTTGCAGTACTTAACGGTTGCCAAAAGAGACTTCCACCACCTATGTTCCGAGCCCAGCCTCACCCTAACAAACCCAAAACCCTAAACCCCTAAACCCTAAACCCCTAAACTCTAAACCCCTAGACTCTAAACCCCTAAACCCCTAACCCCTAAACCCATAAACCCTCTGAGTCCCCTCGACCCTAAACCCCTGAGTCCCCTAAACGTCTAACTGGGGTGAGTGACCCGAGGGATAGGTTTCAGTCCTGACAACCCGAAAGCAAACACTCCAAACCGAAACCCTGTGGGTTTAGGGGTTTAGGGGCAGGGGTAGGGGTTTAGGGGCTTAGGGGTTTAGGGGTTTCGGGGCTTAGGGAGGCTTTCAGAACAAGACACGACTGCCCCTACTTTCCGAATCCCAAAACCACATGAACCCCGGTAGCTGCAGCTCCCCCAAGCGCTGACACCAAAACTAAAAACCCAACCTACAACCCAAAACAAGAAACCCAGTTCCTCGAAGCCCTCAGCCCGAATCACCAAACACCCTATAAAAAACACACTTGTCAACATCGCTTTGGCCAGAAAGGCCCTGCAACAAGAGTCATTCAGGCCATTACATTCTTCAAACAACTGTATATAAACATTCAGGACCTTGCAGAAACAACCTTTCTCAACAACACCGCCTGCAGACAGAAAAACAAACACGTAAACCCACCCCACACCTTCCCCCTCACTCCTCACCGTAAACAAAAAACACAATCACAAACCCCCCTTAAACCTAAAACCCTGAACACGCAGCATGATCGTAACCAAAAGTGCCCTAAAACCCTAAACTACAACAAACACGGAAACAACTGAAACACAACAAAAGCAGAAACCCGCAATTCACCTAAAAAACCCTGAAACCCCTGTTCTCTAACAGAAAGAGCACCAAAAGCCCTATAAGAAGACACCTAAACCAGATAATGAATACCCCAAACCCTAAACCTTATAAAACAAAAATCCAATTATTGAGATGGTTGGGTTTCGGGGTTCCTATATATAGTCTATGGAATTCAATTATTTCAACTAGTTGGGGTTCGTGTTTCGTTTTAAATCGAAACAAAGCGGTCGAAGGGCGGCTCCCTAAACCCTAAACCCCTAAACCCTAAAACCCTAAAACCCAAACCCTAAACCCTAAACCCCTAAAACCCTAAACCCCTAAAACCCTAGACCCTAAAACCCTAAAACCCCAAACCCCTAAACCCTAAAACCCTAAAACCCCAAAACCCTAAAACCCTAAAACCCCAAACCCCTAAAACCCTAAACCCTAAAACCCTAAAACCCCAAACCCCTAAACCCTAAAACCCTAAAACCCTAAAACCCCAAACCCCTAAACCCTAAAACCCTAACCCTAAACCCCTTAACCCTAAACCCTAAACCCCTAAAACCCTAAAAACACCTAAACCACTAAAAACACCTAAAACCCTAAAACCCCTTAACCAAGTACGTGTTATAGTCTAGGACACCCAGTAACCTCAGAATAAAAAGGCCTCTCTTTTTGGTATTGGGGTAACTTTATAAGGAACCTAGGACTACGAAAAGGGAATAAGGGTACTACTGGGCATCCTAGCCCCTAATTTTCGGAAACCCTAAACCCTTTATAGAACCCTTATAGATCCCTTTAAGGAACCCTTATAGATCCCTTTAAGGAACCCTTATGGATCCCTAAGGGTCTGCGCATCCTAGTCCTACACCCTAAAACCTCCAAAACCCTATAGATCCCTTATGGGCCCCTTTAAAGGAACCCCTATAGATCCCTTTAAGGAACCCTAAGGCCCTAAACCCTAAACCCTAAACCCTAAACCCTAAACCCTAAGCCTTAAGCCCTAAACCCTAAACCCTAAACCCTAAGCCCTAAGCCCTAAACCCTAAGCCCTAAACAGCTGCTGTAGATGTTATAGTCGAAGGGCGGCTCCAGCTCCTCCATGGCCGGAGCTGCCGGAGGCAGCAAGGCACCTGAAAAGGGCCCCTTGAAGGTTTAGGGTTTGGGGAGTTTAGGGTTTAGGGTTTAGGGTTTAGGGGTTTAGGGTTTAGGGTTTAGGGTTCAGCTGCTCCGGATTGAGCAGTTTTAAAGTAGAGTTGTATTTACGGTTTAGAAATAACACCCACCCACCCTTAGAATCCCATAACATAAGCCATATAAAGTCCTTCATCATCATTCAGAGAGTTGTACCTATAACCTAGCTTGTCACACTTTAATGTCGCCTTCCCACACCACTAGGAAAATACAACACTTCATATTGCTCCCTTAGCTGATTTAATTATTTAAGTTGTTGAGCTTAAGCTTATTTTAGATTCCTCCGCCTGCACTTATGAATGGATTTGTTAACCTATTGTTTCGCTTATTGCGGCATTAGCAAGAAAAACCTCTTGTAGAATTGTTTCGCTCATTGGGGCGTTCGTTCTTGGCTTTCCTCGGACTCTCCAAACCGCCGTGTCTCACCCACCACTTCAAGGGCTAGGGATCCCACACATCTGCGGGCAAAATCTGGCGGAAGTGATCCGCCACCGAGCAAAAAGCCTGTAAATACCGCATTAAACAAAGGGCCAGGGATTTCACATATCTGGTGGCAAAATCTGGCGGAAGTGAGCAATCGGTACTTCTGTCAGATTTTGACAACAGATATGTGAAATCCCTGGCCCTTTGTTTAATGCGGTATTTACAGGCTTTTTGCTTGGTGGCGGATCACTTCCGCCAGATTTTGCCCGGCCGTTTTTTGAGTTCGGAATGGAAATCTCTTGCAGAGTTGTTTCGCTTAATGGGGCGTTAGAAAGCAATACCTCTTGCAGAATTGAAGCCCAAACCCTAGGCCCCAAAACCCTAAAGCCCAAACCCTAGGCCCTAAACCTTAAAGCCCAAACCCTAGGCCCTAAACCCTAAAGCCCAAACCCTAGGCCCTAAACCCTAGCAGGCCCCTTTGGCCTTAAACGACGAAGGTTTGGCCTTAAACGACGAAGGTTTGGCCTTAAACGACGAAGCTGGAGGCTCAGTCTGGTGGCAAAATCTGGCGGAAGTGAGCAATCGGTACTTCTGTCAGATTTTGCCAACAGATATGTGAAATCCCTGGCCCTTTGTTTAATGCGGAATTTACAGGCTTTTTGCTTGGTGGCGGATCACTTCCGCCAGATTTTGCCCGCAGATGTGTGGGATCCCTGGCCGTTTTTTGAGTTCGGAATGGAAATCTCTTGCAGAGTTGTTTCGCTTAATGGGGCGTTAGAAAGCAATACCTCTTGCAGAATTGAAGCCCAAACCCTAGGCCCCAAAACCCTAAAGCCCAAACCCTAGGCCCTAAACCTTAAAGCCCAAACCCTAGGCCCTAAACCCTAAAGCCCAAACCCTAGGCCCTAAACCCTAGCAGGCCCCTTTGGCCTTAAACGACGAAGGTTTGGCCTTAAACGACGAAGGTTTGGCCTTAAACGACGAAGGTTTGGCCTTAAACGACGAAGGCATTAGGGTTTAAATCTATATATGATAGAGAGGTTTAGGGTTTAGGGCTTAGGGCTTAGGGTTTAGGGTTTAGGGTTTAGGGCTTAGGGTTTAGGGTTTAGGGTTTAGGGTTTAGGGTTTATTGGTTTAGGGTTTAGGGTTTAGGGTTTAGGGTTTAGGGTCTAGGGTTTAGGGTTTAGGGTTTAGGGTTTAGGGTTTAGGGTTTATTGGTTTAGGGTTTAGGGTTTAGGGTGTGGCAGGCGAAGTCGCGCGCTCGGGTGTGAAGCACCCCGGGCCGCGCGCTCGCGTTGCTTGTAAACCCACCCCGGCCACCCAAACTATACTCTATTAGGGTTTAGGGTTTCTACCCCCCAACCCCCCTATCAAGGGGGGCTTTTATATTTTTGCACCCATGAACGTTCCAGTTGTTGAAGTTGTGGCCTAGGCAACGGCTGGGAGTAGCCTCGGCCCTTTTCGGGCCTTCGGCATGGCAGGGCCGGCTCGGCCCTTTAACCTTATCGTTTGACAGCTTTGGAAAATCTAGATTTTAGAGCTGGTTCCTAAATCCTAAATCCTAAACCCTAAATCCTAAATCCTAAATCTTAAATCCTAAATCCTAAATCCTAAACCCTAAATCCTAAATCCTAAACACCAAATCCTAAATCCTAAATCCTCAATCCTAAATCCTAAATCCTAAATCTTAAATCCTAAACCCTAAATCCTAAATCCTAAATCCTAAACCCTAAATCCTAAATCCTAAATCCTAAATCCTAAACTCTAAAACCTAAATCCTAAATCCTAAATCCTAAATCCTACACTAAATATTGAAATCCGGAAGCTTAAGAGCAGCCACACGAAAAGAAAGGAGGGGACCTCGAGATTCGCAACCGGCCTTGTCTACGAGGCACATTTTATGAACAGAATTTGTCATTCGAAAATCACCAGCAAAAATCAAAATTTCCGGAGGTTAAATCCTAGATCCTAAATCCTAAAACCTAAATCCTAAATCCTAAATCCTAAACCCTAAATCCTAAACCCTAAATCCTGAATCCTAAATCCTAAATCCTAAACCCTAAAACCTAAATCCTAAATCCTAAATCCTACATTAAATATTGAACTCCGGAAGCTTAAGAGCAGCCACACGAAAAGAAAGGAGGGGACCTCGAGATTCGCAACCGGCCTTGTCTAAAAGGCACATTTTATGAACAGAATTTGTCATTCGAAAAGCACCAGCAAAAATCCAAATTTCCGGAGGTTAAATCCTAGATCCTAAATCCTAAATCCTAAAACCTAAATCCTGAATCCTAAATCCTAAATCCTAAATCCTAAACCCTAAATCCTAAATCCTAAATCCTAAATCCTAAATCCTAAATCCTAAACCTTAAACCCTAAATCCTAAATCCTAAACCCTAAATCCTAAATCCTAAATCCTAAATCCTAACCCCAAAAAGAGGGACCAGAGCAAATGGGGCACGGTTTGGGGTTATTATATAGCTACGCTAGAGGTGGTCCCGATACGGCGGTCCCTCATTTCGAAGACTTCCCGTTGGGGTTTGCCATGGGCTTCACACCGTTGACCTGTGCAGGTCAGACCGGGGAGGCTTTACCCTCCCCTCTCCGCGTCCCGGTCTTTCCGTAGGGGCGCTCGGGCTGTTAGGCCCTCGGCCAGAGCGCTCGGGGCCTGTCGTTCGACGGTTTCGGCCCCTCGCTTAGTTTAGGGTTTAGGGTTTAGGGTCTAGGGTTTAGGGTTTAGGGTTTATTGGTGTGCCTTAAACTACCCAAACCCTACTTTTTTGTAGGTTCTTATTATAAACCCTAATATGGAATTTATAGGGACCCTACAAAAAAAGTAGGTTTTAGTAGGTTAAGGTAGGGGTTCAAAGTTTAGGGGTGTAGGGTTTAGGGGTTCAGGGTTTAAGGTTTAGGGTGTAGGGTTTGGGAGTTTAGAGGTTTATTGGTTTAGGGGTTTAAAGTTTAGGGTTCTATTAGGGGTTTAGGGGTTTAGGGCTAAGCTTATAGGGTTTAGGGTTCAGGATATGAGGGTTTGGGTAGTTACTTCTCTTACTTGGGGCCGTCCCCTTTAAGGAAGCCTACCATTAAAGGAGGCTCAAGAAAAGCACCCTACAAGGGAACCTAAATGAGAGAACTACCCGCTCAGGGCTTCAATAAGGCCCCAAAAAAAGCACAGAAGAAAAAAATAGGATAGGGATATCCCATAGAAATCGCCTTATACCCTAAACCCTAAACCCTAGCCCATTATGTAGGGATATCCCTACCTGAAAGACCCGGGTCGGCGGGAGGATCACGGGATTTGGGGTTGACTCTAAGGGTTCTATAGGGTACTTTAAAGGTCTACCTTAACCCCACGTAACCTACCTTTTTAAGGACTTATATAAAGAAATCATATTAGGGAACCCTGAAAAACGTAGGTTCCTTAGGGTCCAGGTAGGGTTTGGGGGCTTTAGGGGTTTAGGGTGTTTTAGGGTTTATAGTATAGGGTCAGGGGTTTAGGGTTTAGGATCTAGGATCAATTCAAATGGTTCTTTTAATGGCTCCTTTAAGGGCTCCTAAAAGGGATCTATAGGGTTCAGGATATCACGGGATTTGGGGTTGACTTTATGAGCGGTTCCCTTTTGAAGGCTCTATTAAGGGTACTTTAAGGGTTTGGGGTTTTGGGAGTTTTAGGGGTTTCGGGTTTGTTTAGGGTTTAGGGGTGTAGGGGTTCAGGGCTTTAGGCGCTGAGGGTCTAGGGCTTCAGGGTCCAGGGTTTATAGGGTTTGATCATGACTCAATTAGTTTGGTTATGGATGGAGGTTTAGGGCTTAGGTCTAGGGATGTGCGTGTCTAGAATTTAGTGTTCGGGGGTCGGGGCGTAGGTCTTAGAGTTTGGGGTTTCGGGATCAAAGCTTCATCTCTGAACTCTAACTCGGACTCATGGCTGATGGCCTGAAAAATTAGGGTCAGGTGTTTCGGGGTTCTTCTGCTACAAGTGTATACATAGATACAGATATAGAAATAGGACATAGGTATAGACATAGATGTAGATATAGAAACATGTATGTTTATGAAGCCCCGTGAACAGATGTCTACATGATCGGAATAGGCTTTCTAGTTTTGAGGGGCACATAAATCATTGATCAGCGTCTAGCTGCAATGGACACCATAATGATCTTAATGAGGAATGTTGGTAACCGTTCGGCTTCTATACCTTTCATTGCAAGATTGCGGGCTTGTGCGAGGTCTGGGACCTAGATTTTCGGGCTAATGAATGTAGGATCCCAATTTCGAAACCCAAACACTGCAACCAACATATTCGGATTTATATAATATAAGGAACCCTCTTTAAACAAAAAACAGGGTTTCTTCATCAGGTTCTTATTATTCTGGTGATCTAGCACTACCCTATACCCTAATCTAAACCCTAAACCCTACACCCTAAACACTGAACCGTGCACCCGCAACCTTACATCAACTGACATCATCTCTGGGTTGCCATTGCTCTCAACACTCGGGGAATGCAAAAACCAGTGCGGGTTTCCCAGATCTGGAGCCCCAAACCCTCACAAACGCCCCAAGACCCTCCAAACCCCAAGGACCTAAACCCACAAATACCCGCCTTGCTCTTGCATGACTTTCGAGGGAGGCGGGATGCGAACCGAGAGTACGCTCCCGGGTTTGTGGTCCTGCAAGCGCCGCGTTTGAAGGGGTTCATCGGCACCGAGCTTCAGGCCTTTTGGTTGTCTTATGATGTGGCGATTTAGCGCCCATGCAAACCCGAAAACAAATTAGCTACGGTTTGCCGCGTTCTGAGTTTAGAATAGGCCGGGACATGGTACTTAGGGAATTGAAGTTTCGGGCTGAACTGAACACCCAAGAGAACTGGGGAGTTGAAGCTTCGACGGAGGAGATGGTTGGGATTCTAAGTTCTTATGGAGTTTCTAGGCTTTGCAGGCTAGAGGAACACATAATCCCGGGATTTTGTTCGCAAAGTTCGTAAAGATGCCTACGTCCCACGTAGTAAACTTGATACGATGCTGATCCCCAAACCCACACCCCTACATTCGATAGAGCTCACATGAAGGCCTTATATAAACCAGAGTGCAAAAACCCGACGCATCCTCAATCCCAACCCTTGTGACATAGGATATGAAAACTCGTGAAGCCTGACAGCGCCGTGAGCATTTCTATCACCAGCAACTCCACAAGTGTGCACCTCCTGCAGGCGGATGCGGTACCATCCAGCCGGACAGCCGGGCCCTCATGGACCGAGGGCTGCGGCTGAGGGCTCTATCAGTTTACTTAAAGGATCATGGGACTTAGTAATTGGGGTTATAAGTAAGGTAAGTACAGTTATTGTACTTACTTATAACCCCAAATAAGGCACTTATAACCCTACTTAATAAGTCCCATGATCCTCCAAGTATGGGCTAAGGGTTTCGGCATTCAAGGTTTGAGCTTTGGCGTCTTCTTTCGGATTCGCACTCGGTTTAATAGGAGTTTAGGGGCGTAAAGGGCTGTTGAATTTCTATATATAGAGCTTCAAGGGCTCAGAAGATGTTGGGGTTTATCTTTATCCCGATGAACCCACTTTGAGGGGTCCTTAGTAGAATTTCCTCATATGAGTCCCAGAAGAGGTTTGGTTATTCAGGGGTCCAGGTAGGCGCACGGAAGAATAAAAGGGGCCGCGTCTTTCGTGAGGGCTCTGATAGGATTTCTTTTGAGGTTTAGGGTTTGGGGCCGACAGGTTCTGGCGTTGTGGGGGTTGTGGGTCTGGGGCCATGGATTTAGGTCTATAGGGATTTAGGGTTTGGGCTTTGCACCGGCTTCATAGACCCTGAACTCGGACTGCCCCACCACCAACAACAGCAACAAACATAACAACGGCGATGATGACGACAGCCGCACTGCGTGGCAACAATGCCAAAAACCAAACAACGATATCAGCAAAACTCAGTCAACAAAATGCTGAGCCCTTTCTACTCACGGTAGTAATCAGCAGACATGCACGAGCTTGAGTCCTCTCACCCCCAATCCGCAAGCCTCACACCTACGTCCTGCATCGCAACCACTCATCAAACCCTAAACCCTGAACCCTAAACCCGAAACCCCGAAACCCGAAACCCTGTACTAAACCCAGACCCTAAACCCTAACCCCTAAACGCTAAACCAAACCCTAAACCCTAACCTTATAAGCCCTAAACCCAGACCATCTTCGCTCGCTGAGGCCGTTTCCTTTTGCCTCGCCCTGGAAGACAATCTGGTCTCCAGTCCTTATGCACGACAGTATAATGTAATGTAGGAACCCTTTCTTAGGGTTCCCTCAAAGGAGTCTAATCGGGTGACTATAAGGGATCTATAAGGGTACAATAATAATGTAGGAACCTGATTAAGAAACCGTGGGCCTGTAACCCCAAAATAGCAGGATTCATACAAGGAGCCCCAATAAAGGCCCAAAGTCCCTCAGGTTCCTACATTACAAGAATAGTAGGACCCTGAATTTAAAAAAAAACCCAAATTAGGTACCCCTAATTTCGGAAACTCCCATGTGGGGTGCTCCTTTAGGGATAGACGGTACCCTTGCGATCTACGTGGCCAACCATCGCGTCGGTCGTATATTTCCTGGACTTTGCTCTAGGATCTCTCAAGTTGCGAACCCTAAGGGTCCAAGTAGTTCCTATTTATGATTTTGCTAGACCCAAGAGTAACCTAGGAACAAAAAGGGTGCCCTTTTTGGAACGAAGGGGCTTATATAGGAACCTGAACCCTATAAAAAGGGAATAAGGGCCTACTCTGGGTCCTAGTTTTGGGTACCTAAGAAGGCCCTAAAGTCCTATAATAGGGAGTACCTGGACCCTCTGGGGAAGCAAGCTGCAAGGTAGACGTTGTAGGCTGTGGAGCTTAGAATTTACCCAAAGGCCCCAAAGTAGTTCGTTTTTGGGGTTCATACATAGAATCCTCTTCGGGTAACTCCAAAAAGGAACTACTTTGGGGCCCCTGGCTAGTTAGACTCATACAGCAAAACGACGCGGCTTGCACCCGAAGCATTGAACTGAACCCTACGTCCTGGGTTCTCAGCCCTCAAGTGATGAAGAGAAATGAAGAGAAGACGAGATGCGAAGCGCTGGCTGGCCTTGGTGAAATCGTGGGCTTATAGGGTTTAGAGATTCAGGGGTTTATGGCTCATGCCATGCTAGTGTCGGTACCGGGAAGGAAGCCCAGGGCATAGGCTGAGCGGCTAAGAACTTCCGATTCTTACTCGGTCTCCTTGCCTACAAACCTATAAAACCCTAAACCCGAAACCAGATCAAGAACCCCCGGGTTGTAGGGCCACTTCGTTTGGGTTTTTTCACACTCAGGGGCTTCTATATACATCAAGTCCTACATTACGTGCTGCATGAGCATGCGCTGGCACTGCAATTTAGCAAGAGAAAAGGCCGACATACGAATAAACACCGTAAAACACATCTACCGATCACCCATCCATCCAAACAAACGTGCGATCGTTCGTCCGTACGCATGTGCATACACGCATGTAAGCAGGCACAAGTTAAGACATGCATACATGCACAAGGAAACCCTTACATGCCCACACTACATACATACATACATGCATACAAACATACAAGCATACAAACATACATAAATACATTCCTGCGTTACACGAACTATATGAGCAACCACGACAACGCAACGGCTTCACGAGTACGTGAGTGGATGCGAGTACATGCACATGGGAACAGGTATGCAAATACACGCATGTATAGACAGCTGAAAAGATAGATAGACAGATGGGTAGATAAACAGACGCATGCATGTGCAATATCAGTGTGTACGTGTCAATGCATATATGTAGACACATGTAGACTATGTAGACACCTGCATGCTGAGACTCGCAAAAACGATGTGTGTAACTGCACGGACATGCACGAAGGTTCCGTAATCAGGTAGATACATGTTTCATACTTACTACTGTACTTACTAGAAGATCTGCGTTCCTGCAGGCAGTTTCGATGTCTTTGATTGTCCAACACATGCCCCTAGATGCCAGAATGCAAACTGGACAACATGGCTGTTTTCAGCGCTGCTTGGACACCCCCGAAACTTGAAATCACGGCCTTGGAGACGTGAAACTCTTAACCGCCTAGCACCAAAACTGCCCTAAACCCAAACCCCCGAACCCTACACCCCTAACCTCTAAACCCAACCTATAGTCTCCATTGTAGTTCCTTTTTATTTCTCTGGTTTAACCAATTTTATATTAAGGATCCTACAAGGTAACCCCCAAAAGGAACTACAATGGAGACTATAGGAAGACCCCGAATCCCCACACCCTAGGCCCTAAACCGACGGTTTAGGGTTTAGGGTTTAGGCCCGCTCTCTAAACCCAAAGCCCCAAAACCTGAACCCACCATCCCACGAGAGCCGGACACTTGCACCTCGGGCTGGGACTTGGGTAGCGGCTTCGGGTTGCAGGGTTTTGTTTAGGGCATAGAGGATTTAGGACTTTAAGTCGGGTTGATCCTGCACATATGGGTAGCTCTCTGAATTAGGATTCCGTTTAGGGTCCTTTTCTACAAGCCGTACTATGTTGGGGACCTGCAGACAAAAAAGTCACCTTACTTTAGAGGACAACCCCTGTCAAAACTCACCATAACTGCCGCCATCCAAGCCCCTCCCTATGACACATAACCTGCGTGCCTACAGTGCTTGATCCGAGTTCCTGATTTATACATGTGCAATGCAACCTACACCTTACTGCAGACATTGAAGCATGGCTGCTTCAGGAGAACGACTTTCTGGAACAGGGTCGGCATTTGGGGGTGTCTTAGACATACAGGCATGTTACTTTGGTATCTGTGTTGTTAAACTTTGGGGCTGAAAACACCAGCCCAGAAAACAAAAGTTAACCTTTTCAATTATGGTATAGGGTTATATCAACCCCAACAGGTTAAAGGTTACCTACTCATCTACGAGGTAAGTCAGGAAATTGTATGAGCATCTTGTTCTCTGGAGTCTAGAGTAGGCTCGCGGTGTAGTATCGGGCCTTGGGGTGTTTCGAAAATAGGGTACCCTTAAAAAAAACCCTAAATAGTAGGATCCGTATTATAAGGAGCTCAAAATAAGGTCCACCTAATTTTCGGAAACGCCCATTTAAGTAGCAAGGCTGTGTTGGACGTTTCGGATCGAGCCCCAGGGTTTGCTCCAATCCTGAACCTCATCTAAGATCTGCGGGCAATCGAGGTCTGGGTTGTAGTTTTGGACTTCTGAAAAGTATTTATGATTAGGTACCTCTATAGGAACCAAAAAGTGGAATTCAAAAGTTTCCCACATTGCCACCTAGAGGTGTATGGTTCAGGATTCGTCTCAAGGCTAGGCCCCCTTAGAACCATAATAAAAATCATAGTTCAATATTCTCTTGGGTTTTAAAGAAAGACGACAGAAGGGGCTTGTGAGACTTGCCGAGCGCTGAGGGATCAGGGTCTGGGCTTAGGATTGCGATGTCAATGCCAGGAGACCATCATTGCAGGAGGTAGCACCTGCTGCAAAAATCATCAGGTCGTCCTTATTTTTCAGGTTGTTTATGTGCTCAATATTGACAGATAATTAAACAAGCTACGACTGCGCACACGTGAAAAGAGCTGCAACATGTATGCCCTAAATCCCATCCCATCAATCTAGAAAAACCCTAAACCCTAAACCCTAAACCCTAAACCCTAAACCCTAAACCCTAAACCCCTAAACCCTAAACCCTAAACCCCTAAACCCTAAACCCTAAACCCCGAGGGACAGCAAAGCTGACCACAAAGTCTCGGGCTCCCGGGACTTAGAAAGTAGTGTTACAATTGGGGTTATTGGAAGTACCTAAGTGGGGCGATCCTAATTACGACCTCATGACATCACGTACTAAGTTCCTTGAGCCTTCTAGGAGGCTAAACCCTACTTAAAGGATCATGGGACTAAGTAAGTAGGGTTATGAGTAAGACAACTACAGTCATAATTACTTATAGCCCCAATTAAGGTACTTATAACCCTACTTACTCTGTCCCATGATCCTCCAATTAAACCCTAAACGCTAATGTTCAGCCGTTGAGCTGCCGAGACGGCTGCCACTCTTCTCAGTCGCTTGGGGGGGGGGGGGGCGAGTTTAGGGGTTTAGGCCCTTTAGGGGTTTAGGGTTCGCGCTTTAGGGGTTTAGGGGATGAGGGGTTTTGGTTTTTTTGGGAGAAGGGCTTTGGGGGTTTAGAGTTTAGGGTATAGGGTTTTCAGGTTTCTGCCCTGTCGAGCCCATGACTCTTCATGTACATGGTCCAAGCTTGGACACAATGCTTTCGGTTTGCCGGCCTCCACAAGCCATCTTTCTGGCTCGGAACTGGCCGCAAGCCATCAGAGACCATAGTGACCATGAGCGAAGGAGGCACCAGGTTCGACCTCCCACCGCCCCTTCGGAATCTCCTGGAGCAACTCATCTCTGCGAGCTTGCGTCACAGCTCGCCACGCAGAATCTCCATCAAGGGATCTTGTTGTTTGATACCCACACAAACAACACATCCGGCCCGTGCAGGTTATGTAAGCGTCGTCGTGCGGGGTCGAGGGCTTTTGTTCAGTGCTGCTATGCGATCTAGTCTTCGTTTATATTTCAATACACGGTTTGGAGTTTCGGGCTTTGCGGCCCTGAATGTTCAGGGCTCGGCGGCTGCTTCCGGGTAAGTGTTCAGGACTTTGGGGGTTCGGGGTTCATGGCTTTAGGGTTTAGGGATGTTTAGTCATAGGAAGGATGCAGGAATCTGCCTTTCAGTTTATACCAGACCTTAGAAGTTAGGCTGAGGTAGCCAAAGTGAAGCAGCAGTTTGGGGGTCATGGATAATGCATTTCCAGCGTCGTAAGTTGCATAGTCTGCTATCGGCATGCTTGAAAAGACGGTCTCAAGCAATGTGTTCCACGAAATGAAGTCCGAGCTTTGTAAGAACGTCTTTGACACGAAGATTCGACCCAGGAAATAAAGCGATGAATCCTTGAGGCAGTTCATCGTTTGTCATTGCAGGGCCAACTCCCTAGCACAGTACAGCACCGGCGAAAGCCCCGGCAAATGCGACGACGGGAACCACCACCAAGACTGCTTCTAGGATTAGTGCGATTGCTACCAGAGTGATTAAGCCATCCTAGACCCTACTTAAAGGATCATGGGACGTAGTAATCGGGGTTATAAGTAAGGTAACTACAGTTATACTTACTTATAACCCCAATTAATGTACTTATAACCCTATTTACTAAAGCCCCGTGATCCTCCAAGTAGACCCTAAACCCTAAACCCTTTCACGGGACCCCTATAAGCCTACTGTATCGTCAAGCGACCATGCAACTGTAAGCCTCGGGCCGTCTCCTCTCTCCAACAAAATTTCATCCCTGAGCCCGACCCACAGCCCAAAACGCGAGTGCAAGTAATCCCTAGACCGTAACCTCTAAACTCCTACCCCCAATACCCAAAAATCCAAAGCCCCTTTATAAGCCCTATAGGACCCTTATGAAAATATATAGAACCAGCATAAACCTTAAACCCTACATCCCTGAACCCTTATACCCTAAAGTCCTTTAGCCCTAAATTTGTATAGAGCCTTTTAAGGGAACCCTTAGAATTCCTATCAACGCCCCAGATCTTTCTCCGAGGTCCATGTGCTCAAATAGTATATACTTCGGCCTTAGCCCGGACCCCCCGGGAGGATCCAAAAAGTAGATCCCTTAATGGGGGTTCCTATGAACTACCCTTAGTACCCAGATTAGGGAATCTACTTTCTAGATCTGGTGGGGGGTCTGGGAGGGTTCTATTCGGGGGCCTCAAAAGGTAGGATGAAGGTAGGTGGGATATTCCCAAATAAGACTCCTTATATAAGGGATCCTTAATCCCACCTACCTTCATCCCACCTTGTCAGGCCCCCGATCTATGAAGACCACATCTTCCTGCGCCTCGAAGACATCGCCGGGCTGCAGCCCTAGAGGAACTTTCACCTCGCCGGTGACATAAATGGGGTTCGGAGTTTAGGAGTTCACCTTTAGGGTTAGGGTTAGGGTTTAGGGTATAGGGTTTTGAGTTTAGGGTTTAGGGTTTGGGGTTAGATTCGAAGTTGGGAGTTTGCGAACATTAGGGCACAGAGACTCCTAGGATCCCTTTAAAGGGTTCTTTTAAGAGCTCCTTTTAGGGTTCCTAAAAGGGATCTATAGGGTTTGG